CTCGCCCTCCCGCCCTCCCCCGGCTCACGGCCCCGCGTTGCCCCTGCCCGCAGATGCCAGCGCTCGCGGTGCTTGCGGCGGCCGTCGCGGCGTGGTGCTTGCTCCAGGCGGAGAGTCGGCACCTGGATGCGCTCGCGGGAGGCGCCGGCGGCAACAACGGCAATTTCCTGGACAATGACCAGTGGCTGAGCACCGTCTCCCAGTACGACCGGGACAAGTATTGGAACCGCTTTCGAGACGTGAGTGCCGCCTTCTGGCTCTGCAGGGGGGCACCTTTCGGGGTGGGGAGAGGGGGCTGTGGAGGCGGTGGGGAGGATCTGGGGCCGACCCTCCTGCACGGCTTGCTGGACCGTGGTTTCCCAGGCTGCTGCTCGCATGCAAGGAACTTTAAAGAGAACTTCAAAGGCTTGATGCTCTTGCCTGTTACCCAGTGGCCCAGGTGTGCCTATCTGTAGGTGTGGGGGAGGTGTCTGCACTGAAACGTGGCATTCACGAACAGCGAACAGCTGTGCGAGAGGCTCCCTGAGCTGCTGGGTTCTGCAAACCTCGTTGATTGATTTCGCCACCCCTCCCCCCTCCCCCCCCCTGTAGAGAATCCTTGGGGCAGCCATAATCTGGACCTGCTAGAAGAATCCCTGCAGGAGGGGTTAGGGTGGGAGCGGGGAGCCCAGCTCTGTTACCAGGGAGCAAGCTGTTGCAGGAAGTTTGGAGGGTTGCGGGCAACCTGCTGCATAAAACATTGACGGAAGTACAGTGGTTTTGACCCTTGGTGCCTTTAGGCGAAGGGAGAGGGCAGTCTGCTGACATGAATTGCTCCGCCCTGCAGAGGAGCCTGGGTGGTAGAGGGGATCCCTGAGAGAGGAGCTCTCCTTGAGTACCCGGGGCAAACCTACCACCGGCTTCTGCCCCCGCTGGCCGCTGCCCCCAGGTGCAGCCCTGGAAGGTGCAGGGCAAGAAGCACCTGGCTCAGCCTTTCCAGCAGATGGCATCCCCTCTGTGCTGTGAGAGCCGCTGCCAGCTTCTAAAAGGCAGTCCCAGGTGTCTAAGCTGTACCCTTCTAGGAGACTAGGAACAAACTTTCATCATACTTGCCATTAGGAGTTCCTGGTTCTCAGACCCATACCACAGAGCCCCCGTTTTCGTCACAGAGGCTCTGTGCGTGGGAGATGTGTGACTGGTCTCTTTCCTCCAGGGGCCCCTTGTAGCCCCTTTCCTGGTGTCACCAGCTCACCAGGGACAGGTTCTGAGGGGTCCCAGGAATGTGGATGGTTTCCTGCCCTTTCTAAGGCACCTGCCTAGGCCCCATTCTAGGGGAGCAGGTGCTCCGGCCGTCTGAGTGGGGGCTTATTTCTCTCCTCAGTGCCTGTGCCCCTGCATTATACTCCCCCATGCACTGCTGCTTTTTCGGAGGGGCTTCCCAGTACTTTCATGAACTTCCACAGCTCTTCGCAGTCGTAGTTTTACAGCAGTAAAACTCTTTTCTCCCCATGAGATCTGGGCCAGACCTGTCTGCACTCCCAACCATCTTCCTTCTTTCTGTTCAACTTTGCAGTGACTACCTTTGCTTGTGACTTTTGAAAAAGATGCCCATACTGTGACTCTTCCATTCACAGGCTCATATAGATTAGATAGCATTTTGCCTTTTCAAAAAAAAAAAAAATCTATACATCTGAGATAGAGTCGAGGAACAGGCAGAGGCTTACTCTGCTAGAGATAGGAGAATTAGGCCAGGTATGGGGTGAAGGGCCATCTTCGCAGACACCTTGCTTTGTGTGGCTGCTGGTTCAGATCGAAAATATCCCTGCTTGTTGGTCTTCTGGTGTGAAAGGTTTGCTGTGCCTATTTAGGGTTTCCTGGTCTCTCTATGCCATAAGCATGACATTGTTATTTTCCATTCAGCTTTAGGTTTTTAAAAATTGTTTGTCATTTCTTGCCTTTCTTGTGAACGTCAGCTTTTTGTTATCCTTGGATCCACGTTTCCCCAAATCTGACTGATCATGAGGTTCCTGTGGGGTGCTTGTTCCTCCTCAGCACCCAGACTTCTTTCATGGACGTTCTGATTGCACAACTCTGTCAGTGCTGGGAATCTGTATTTTAAACAAATATACTAGGTGATTCTCTTGATGTTTAGGAATTCTGCCTTATATATTGTAAAACTGTTCAAAGTCTAAGAGCAAAAAAGGGAGAAGCCTCTGTTTAAATGTTCTACTTTTGCGTTTCTGGGATAATTTTGGTGTTAAACTAATACTAGCAGCATCTATCAAAATGACAATTAAGTCAAGGATACTACTTATGACATGTAAAAATGTTTAGAAATTCCAAACATCAACCATCTATATGCTTTGTGTATACTTCTGATGCCAGTTGTGGCTCAGACATAATTTAATGCCATAAACCCTTTTTAAATGTTTTTCTAGATGCTATTTGAGGTCGCATGTCTCCACTTGGGTAATTTGCTGGCAATAACCACAAAGCTTGGTCCCCTTGAGACAGAAGAAACATTGCTTCTTACAGAAACCAGTGTCTAGAGGACAGTGGACAAAGCCCCAGCTAGGGGTGTGGTTTTCTGCTGGCCTGACCCAAGCCTTGTTAGGGGTTGATACAGCCTCAGGGTCTCTCCTACCTTTTTAGCTATTTTGTTGGAATCACTGATAACTTTGTCCTGAGATTATTGTTAAGGTGCTTGTCAGTATTTGCAAAAATATTATAAAAGAAAGATTTCTACTGTTCCCCTGACTTGTCATGTTTTTGATCTTGTGATAGAAGAGACTTTGGAACTTGTGAAACTAAGGGCTCATTTTAGAGAGCTGATGATAACCTTTGGGTGCTATCATTAACCTTAGACTGGAAATGTTAGCGGGCCCTGTGCGCCATGCTCCCCTGTCCGTTGGGTGTGCTGTGACATTGCCAGAGGGGACCCGATAGCGTCTACTGATTGCTTTGAAGTAGTTCTTTCACTCTGCATATACAAATAATTGCTATCTCCTTTCCGGAAGTTCAACTTTCACACATAGTCCATGGCATGGCTTATTACCTGGAGTGCTAAATATGGTAGAAATTGTAGATGTCAGGAGATGTTTCCTCTTAAAAGTACTGGTAGTCTCTTCATTTAGTTATCTTTCTTTAATAAAGACGAGCAATTGGGATGTTTTGTCCAGATGGAGGCCTAGATTCTGACCCAAATACAGTATTAAGAAGTAGAAGATGTAGATGTTTAAACCACATTGTACAATAATTTCCTTCCTGCCGTACCATTTAACTCTTGCACGAGTTGAAGTTGAGAGTTGCTACATCAATTCTGCTTTACAGAATTTTTTTGGCCCCATCTGGCTTTTCTTTTCTTTTTTAATTTTAAATAAATAATATAGTAGTTTATTTTACATCATTTTGTGCATTTTCCCATCTCAGTTGTAATCCCCGTGGGTTTCCCATCTGGCTTTTCTTAACCATTATTTAACCAAATCTTCCACTACTCATTTTTATATTCATTTGCCTATTTATTCTATTTAAAACAAGTATTTGTTTGTCTATCATGAGGTAGGCCCTGAATTCTAAGGGTAAGATAAATAAATGTGCGCTTTTCTCAGGCAACCTCTTGTGGACTGGAGGAAATCCTTTTCACTTGCACTGTCTTAAATGTCCTTCTTATTATGACTTTTTTTTTTCTTATTATGACTTTTTAAAAAAATACAACTTTTTTTCTTATAAAGAAGAGATACATTGCTTCTAATTAAAAATTGAGAACACTGCGGATGTAGGTAATACCTAGCATTTATCAAGCATTTAGTGTGCCCGACTCATTTAAAGTACTTTCCATATATTATCTCATTTAATATTTGCAGAGCTCCTCGGAGAGAAGTACTGTGAGTATCTCCCATTTACTTCGAGGTTAAGCCTTTCCGCAGGATGACCGTGCTAGGCTGTGGCAGAAGCAGGCTGGCAGTAGGTAGACTTCCTGTGCTCTGAATTGATGGAGTGGATTTGGGTGTGACCCTCCATCGACACAATCACCAAAACCCTTAGGTTGAGACAACATGGGTGGGAAGCCAGATAGGCAGAGTTTTTTTGTAAGGGTCACATCAGAGCTTATCACCTGCTAATAATGAGCTTCTGTTTTGATTAAGACGATATTGTTGCTTACACCAAACATGACATTTTCTTTCTTTTGCACACATGAAACTAACCCTGACATTTAACTCCAGGATAATTACCTTCTGCAGGCCCAAAGAATCAGAAGTGTTGCCTTGGCTGGCATTTATCTTACTCGAGTGACCTGAGTTTGTAATTCTAATGAGAGCACAGGCCCTGAGCCATGTTCTTTCTCCTCCTGGCGCACACACTGTGGGATCTGGTGGTCTCTGTAGCAGAACCTGGGTGGCCGTGAGCATCTGATCTGCTCATTTGATCCTAACATCTCAGCTACAGTGAGTTTCAAGGGCAAGTGGGACTTGCTGATAGAATAGTGGCCAGCTCAGTCACTGGGGCTGGTGGCAAGAGCGGTGGTATGGCTTACTGGGTCAGTCATTAATCTGTCACCACAGAAACTCAGCTTGTAATAGAGAGGAACAGAAAATCATTTTGATTAAACAGGTTCAAGGAGACTTAAATGAGTTTGTGATCCTTACTCTCTTTAATGAACCCACTATCTGAAATCCCCTGTCCTAGCTGACCATCGATAGAAATAATTATTTCACAGGAATCATTATAAAGCAACATTGTGGCAGGCTGCAGGCCTGAGACCAGTCTCGTGTTCCCTGTTTTTACCCTCAGTTTGCCCTTGAGGAAAACCATGTGCTTGCCCAGCGGGACCTCGTAGCAGGTCCCCTCGCTGACTTCACAGACCTGGATTCTTCTATTGTTCCTGGTCCTGTTCCAGCCCTGTCCGTAGTACTTCTGGGAGCTGGGTTGCTGGGAGGATAAATGTCCCCCTATGTGCCGTTGAGGTGGTTTGCACAACCCAGAACTGGTACCAAGTGGATCATCAGCTCTATTACTCTCCCAGAAGAATGGGACCTAATGGCCTGACTGTTTTACCTTGCTCGGGGAGCCAGAATGTTGTTAGTGATCAAATATTCTGTATTGATTGTTAATTTACTCAATGTAATGTGTTTCAGATCATACATACTATCTAAAATTTGAAGCACCTTATGCCGACTCATTTTGCCTTCCCTTGGGTGGAGTGACTATTTCTTAGGTAATTCCTCAGCCCCAAGTTCACACTTGATTTCATCACACCACA